TCGAGCCCAAGTGACTGCGGATGTGCGTTTGCAGGAGGTCGAAGGTCTCGAAAGGTTCGCTGTCGCAGAGGGGGCAACAGAGCGAATCGGGAACAACGACGTCGGTAATGTAGGAGCTCCCCTCCCCGGCACAATAGCTGGGGGTGGTGGTGGCGGTAATGATAGTTTGGGGCGGTGTGGACCATCATTGGCCCACGGTGGCCATGGGACACCGTGCTTCCACAGCCGACCTCGACAGACGCCGCCATAACAAGCCTTGCGCGTTGTCGCCCGTGCCAGGGGGTGCACTGCAGGGCACGCTGGGGAACGGCAGGTCCCGCCAGGGAATTGCCGAACCTGGTTCCATGATTTCTTGTGGGGGAGAGGAGGAGAGGAGGAGGAGGAGGAGCAGGAGCAGGAGCAGGAGCAGGAGGAGGAGGAGGATGGGCAGGCGGACGGAGAGGATTTTCAAGCTAGCTGCTTGAGATGCGATGTGCGTGGCAGGAACAGGCTCCGCCAGGGAGAGGCTCACACAGCGAGCCGATGGCTATCTCCCAAGCGCAGGGGCTTGGGCCAGCGTGGCCCTCCTGCCCCCCCCCTTGCTCGTCCTTTCCCTCCCCTCCTCGCGAATCCACAGGCGCGTGCGCTCGCTGCCAACGGACGCCTGCTGCTGGCACGGCTCGCGCCTCCCCTCCTTGCGAGCATCCAACCGCGTGCGCTCACTGCCGACGGCACTCCTGTCCGCCTTCGCCTTCTCCTCCTCCTCCTCCTCCTCCTCCTCCTCCTCCGTCTCTTGTCCTTCACCTCCTCCTCCTCCTCTTCCGCCTCCTCCCTCTCCGCCTCCTCCTCCTCCTCCTTCTCTTCCGCCTCTTCTTCCTCTTGTCCTCCTCCTGCTCCTCCTCTTCCTCCTCCTCCTCCTGCTCCTCCTCCTCCTCTTAACCTCCTCCTCCTCCTCCTCCTCCTCGTCCCTCTCCTCCTCATCCTTCTCCTCATCCTCCTCCGCCTCTTCCTCTTGTCCTCATGCTCCTCCTTCTTCCTCCGCCTACTCCTCCTCCTCCTCTTCCTCCTCCTCCTCCGTCTCCTCCTCCTCCTCCTCCTCCTCCTCCTCCTCCTCCTCTTTCGGGGCGCCCCCCCTCCCATCGACGGAGGCCACGGCGCACGCCGCCGAAGAGGCCTCTGCGTCAGCCGCCGTGGCCCCTGGGGCTGGCGAGGCCTCAGCGGCGGCCGCGGAGGCCACCGATCGCCGTCGTCGTCGTCGTCGCCGTCGTCGCGGTCGCCGTCGCCGTCGCCATGTGGGGGAAGCGGGCCCTGAGGGACACGGGCCCCGAAGTTGCTCGCCGTGGGCCCCAAGGTGTTTCGCCTCGTTCGGGCCCAGCGGGGCCGTCCGCGGGCCGCAGGTCTTCTCAGAAGGCCGCCGGCCTTCTGAGAGGTGTGCTGTGTCTTCCGGGAAGGCTCAGGATGCTGCTCAGAAGGCGGGGGATTTCCGAGCCTTCTGAGAAGGCCCGCCCCTCCTCACTTCTCCCCTGGGCTCGCCGCCGAAGGATCGCCACGGGGGAAACCGAGTCCTGAGGGACACGGGTCCTGAGTTTTTTCATTGTTTTCGGGCTCTCGGGGCTTTCCATGGGCCCCAGGACCGTCAGAAAGCGACTCGGGATGAAGGTCTCGTCCTGGGGGAAGGCCACGGGTCCAGGACCCGTTTCCCGCAGGACCCGTCCCCCGAGGTTCAGAGCCCGGGTGGTCAGGGGTAGCTCCGGGTTCGTGCCTCGGGGGCCCAAACCGAGGTTACCCCGGACCGGAGTTAGCCAGGAGATCTCGGGCGTCGAAACACTCCCGAATCATCGGGGCTGGGGGTTGTCAGGGGCCACTGCTGGTTCGTGCCTCGGGGGCCCAAACCGAAGTTACCCTGGACCCGAGGTATCCTGGAGAATCCAGGAGGCCGCCAGGAAGGCTCCGTGCCAACAGTAAGTGCGAAGGTTCGGCCGCAGACGCAGAGAAGCCCAATCATACGGTTGGCGTTGGACAGATAGGGTGCGACGTGGCGGCGCTGGCCCGCTTATGACACGCTATCCCCTTGCTCTGGGATAGCGTGCACCTAAGAAGCCATGGGAGGAGGATAGTGTGCTCAGAGTGTGCCCTCGCAGCGGGATCACCTCACATAGATGGCGTACAACCGCAACTTGGAGAACGGGGGGAGGGGGGCCTCGTGAGCTGCATGCCCCCCTCCCATACGGGGGCGACGATGACGACGGCGACGACGACGTCGACGACGACGTCGACGACGACCCGTTTCCCTCAGAACACGTTTCCCCATGTCGGGTGGTGGAGCGGTCCGGTGCTCGAAACGCCGCCGAGTCGTTCGAGGTTGCCCGCCGCGGCCCGCGAGAGGGCGCGGGCCCCTCTCGAGGCTCCGATGGGCTCTCGGAGAGGTGTCCTGAGGCCCCCCCCCCCCCGCAGACACAGGGAGCACTTCTCGGGAGTCGGAGGTGGATAGACCTCCTACCCTGACACGTCGATTCAGGAATTGGTGGTTTTCGGCTCGCGAGAGGGCGTCGCGGCCGTCAGTTCTGCGGGTCCAGGTCCGTCGGTTTAGGTCCCAGGCCGTTTTCACCAAGGGGAGGTTTACGAAAGGGAGGTTTGTCCACCGTCGAGACACAGGGAACATTTCTCGGGAGGCGCGAGGACTTCTGAGAGGCCCCGCCGCCCTCTCTCGCCGCCGATCCCACCATTCTTATGATCGCCAGTATCAGTTTTCTTATCCTTAGTGTGATTACTCTTAGCAGCATCATCATGTTTCGCATTTTTATTCCTCGTATTCGAACTCGTTGTTTGATTAGTCTTCTCAGTATTAGTATTATTTTTTGTTCGCATCGATATAATTATTACTTCAAGAGCTGAACGTGCCCTTGCAGGACGTAGGGGGGGCCCCGCTGGGGGGCGGGCTGCCGCTGGGCAGCGGCACCCGAGGAGGAGGGGGGATCAGGGGCAACTTCAGTGGCTTGGCATGGCTCGGACGTGTGCACTTTTCTTGGCCAAGACCCACGAGGGGCATATTGCGTTCGCAATAAGAAGATCACGAAACCGAGCCAATGTACGGGGAATGGACGTCCGAGCAATGGCAATATGGGGTGGGGCTCCAGGGCAACGTTTCGAGGATCGAGGGGGGGAGGGGCTATCGGGTCCTTCTCGGCGATGCTTGCGTGATTGGGGCTCGCCGCCGAAAGATCACCATGGGGGAAACGAGTCCTGAGGGGCACGGGTCCTGCTTTGCTGTCCGTTTTCTGGTTCTCGGGGCCCTCCACGGGCCCCGGGAGTGCCAGATATCGCCTCGGGATGAGGACCTCCTCTTGGGGGAAGGCCCCGGGGTCCAGGGTCTGCTTCCTTCAATACACGGTTTCCCACATGCCACGCCGAGGTTCAGACCCCCGAGTCATCAGGGCTAAGGGTGGTCAGGGGTAGTTCCTGGTTCGTGCCTCGGGGGCCTGAGTTATCCTGTGGGATCCTGGTGTCGAAGAGGCCACCAGCAAGCCTCAGTACCGACGGGTAGAGCGAACGTTCGCCCGCAGACGCGGAGAAGCCTAACCATACGATTCCCTCCGTCGGACGGGGCTAGGACGAGGAGATATCCGTTCCAGGGCGTTTCGGAACGCTCTCAGAACGTTCTGGAACGCCCTGAAAGCTGCGGCGCCCGATACATCCTCCAGAGCCGCTGGATCTCAGAGATTCTCGATCTATCCTCATCCGAATTTGTCCTCGTCCTGGCTTCGTCTTGCTCAGGACCCGAGGCCTCCGAGGCATGCTCCAGGAGCTACCCCTGACCATCCTCGGCTCTGATGATTCGGGGATCTGAATCTCGTTTTAGCATGGGGGACGTGCTTCCCAAACCTTATGACCTCCTCCTCCTCCTCCTCCTCTTCCTCATCCCCCTCCTCCTTCTCCTATTCCTCCTCCTCCTCCTCCTCCTCGTCCTCCTCCTCCTCCTCCTCCTCTTCCTTTCCCTGCTCTTTTTTGAACAGTGGGAAACCGACCCCCGACCCCACAACTATGGATGTTGCGTGTCAGCGTTCTGCATGTATGGCGAATGTGCGTAAGTGTAGGCGCCCTGTCGGCGAGGCTACTGCTAGTTGCCACAGGGGGCGCCCGCCCGCGCGGCGACGTCTTGGGCCCAGCCGACGCGGTCGCGCCCGCGCTGGCATTCCCAGGACCGCACGTGCCACGGCCGCGGCGTGCAGGTCGAGGCGACGGCGGCGCTGTCCTTCGCGCGGCAGCGCCGCTGGCCCAGCCGAGGGCCCCCGCCCCCACCTCCTTCGCCCCCTCGTAAACCGCCGACGGGCAAGTTTAGATCGGGAGCGTTTCTTTTGAGGCAACCGTTCCAACCTACAGTTTTTTGGGGGCGTTTAAAGAAACTCCGCTATCTGTTTATAGCAATTGTTTGGGGTTTCTCCCGCGCGAGACTTTTCGTTTCGGGGAAGTGTAGACCGATGTTGTCTGGGATGTGTATAAACTTGTTGTGCCTGGTGCCTAAACTTTGTTTTCGTGGTGGGCCTCAACTTTTCGATGCGCGCCCGCGCGGGGCGGGCCCCCAAAGCCGTCCCGGGCCCATGCCAGCGCCGCTAAGGGCCGACGCGCACGAGCGCGCGAACATCCACGATGACTTTGGGCATTGACCGCGTGCCAACACAAGGCAACGCCAAGTTCAAACGCCAATGAGCATAGCAACGGCGCGCCGTTCGCATTGAATTGCGCGGCGTTGTCGTTGGCTGACCGTCGAGCTGTTTCCGCTTGCAGGTCGCGCGTCGCTGGACGGTCCAATTCGCGTAAAGTTCCTCATGTGGGGGGCGGGGGTTGCTTTTCATGCGTTCGCTCTTCCTCTTTCTCCTCCCCTTCCTCCGCCCGCCCCTTTTTTGGACTTGCCCCCTCTGCTGAGTGGAACGCCCTAGTGCTCGGAACGGCACCGCATTTTTTCGAGGCTGCCCGCCGAGGTGCCGCCCGCGCGGCCGGGGTGCCCGCAGCCCCCTCGGCGGATGCTGCCCGCGGGGAGCGCCTCGGGGCGCTCTTCGCGAGGGCTCGGCACATCCTCTGTGGCGGACGGCGTGGTGCTCCACAGGCGAGTTTGATGCAAAAAGGTTTTTCCCAACACGGTTGGAAAAAATATGGAGACGATGTGTTCCATCACCGTTTCATTGTGTGTTGAGCATCTACCACCACTTTAAAATTATTCCTCCAGAGCCCGCATGCAGGAGGACACGCCCGACCGAATCGTAGGTTGACCCTGCCGAAGCAGGGGCCCCTTTCTGCGCCTTTTTGGCTCGCGACCGACATACCTTCGGGGGCGCCCTCGCCGGGGCGCCTCGGGGGTTCCGCGGGCGGCCCCGCGCGAAACACGGCCTCCGCGGCGGACCTGGGGGAGGGGAGCGGGCACCCAGACTGCAACCCTTCCCTCGTTTTCCCCTGCTTGGGCCTCCGGGGAGACCCTCACCGCCACGGCCGGATCCGCCTCGGAATTCCTTGGCATCGCTCGGACGTGTGTATTTTTTCTCGGCGAGGACCCTGGAGGAACATTCTTGATCATTTGGCGAAAGAGCCACGCATGAAACCGAACGAAACACAGGGAATGGGCGCCCGAGCGATGGCCAAGTCTTGGTTAAACGCACCCTGGGAGAGGACTGGGAGTAGCGGTATCGATACCTTGTGGTTTCCCCACGGATTGCGTGGTATTCTACAGTCGAGATTGATACGTAGGTCGACCTTGTCAAATCACGGGTATCCTTGTGTCCAGTTGCCCGCGACCAACACCTCGTACCCTCTTATGGCAACGTGGCCCTCGGCAGGGTCTTGTGTCCTCTCGCGTGTCTTCCCCAGTCAAGCTCGACTGTAAATTAAGGTGCTGAAATGAGGACCACTTTGGTCTCAGGAGATTCGGTGGTATGTTCGAGGATCGCGCTCTTCCGGCGTGGTCGTCGGTTCTCGGCGGCTTACCAGCGTAGAGGGTGCCTTCCGGCGACTGCGCCTCGCCGTCCCGAGCGGCCGCCAGAGAGCCGAGAAATGGGACGAACGCCGGGGGCGTTGAGGGAAGGACTTCTATGGGCTCGGGATGGGCATCGGTTTCTGTTTGTCCGCTCCGTTGATCTAGGTCGGTGCTAATATTTGTGGTTGAAGCTCGCCGTGGCCAGAAGCGCCCCGTCGTTCCTTGTCCAGCGCTTCTTGCGTTAGCACGGTGATCGCGTCCATTCGCAGAAGAGGAACGGACACCGATCTTGCTGCCCCTCCCTCGTCGCCACGGCTGGATTCGCTTCGAGATGGGTTCAGGAGGAGGAGGAGGAAAGGAGGAGGAGGAGGATGATGAGGAGGAGGATGAGGAGGAGGAGGAGGAGGAGGAGAGGGAGGAGGAGGAGGAGGAGGAGGAGGAGGGAGGAGGAGGAGGAGGAGGAGTGGCGGCATCGACATCTCGGCATCTCTGTCTCTCCCCCCACGCTCGGCTGCTCCCCGCCCCGCCAGGCGGAGGCCCCAGCGGGCAGCGCCGCCGAAAGGCCCGCGCAAGCCGCGAAGGCCGCTGGCGCCGGCGAGGCCGCAGAGGTGCCCCACGGGGGCCCAGCCTCCGCGATGGGGAGGGAGAGCGGCGGCGAAGGCAGAGCAGTGGAGGCTGGTGGGTGCGAGTGTCGCTCCTGCTCCCATCCTCCTCGTTTTCCTTCTTCTCCTCCTCCTCCTCCCCTTGTCCTCCTCCTCCTCCTCCCCTCCTCATCGTCCTCCTCCTCCTCCTCCTCCTCCTCCTCCTCCTCCTCCTCCTCCTCCTCGTAAGCTGAAGCAAGAGACTGCCCTCTCCAGGGGTGGTTCCCGTGCCTTCTCGCTTGCGCCCAGAAGGTGGAACGGCACGCCCCCGCTCACACCCATGCGCGCGAGCCAAACCTGCCGTTGCACCTCTGCCCACTGCCCGTCGCTCTCGCATCCGCTGATCCCCGCACTGTAGATGAACCCTTGCCTTCATCTGTTCCTGGCTCCTGGCTCCTTGCCTCACCTCCGCCTCCCCCTCCCTCCTGCCCCTCCTCTCCCCATCCTCCCTCCCCCTCTCTCCCCCTCACGCCTACCCCTTCTCTCCCCCGTCCTGCTCCTGACGAGGGCTAAGCCTAGTTTGTTTTCGGGCGGCAGCTCGTGTCTCTGGCGTCCGTGCGGGGCGAAATCCGGGAGCCTCGGCGACTCGCAGTTGCCAGAAGAAAACGCCCCGAGGCTGGAAAGCCTCTCGGAGCGCATGAGAGCGCACGAAAACCCTCGCCAGCCAGCCACCCACCCACACCGCTCCGCAGATCGAAGGAAGAGGACGCAGGCCTCCTGAGAAAGCGCCGGGGCTTCTGAGGAGCCCTCTGGCCTTTTAGTGACCCTCGTGTGCCTCTGGGTACGGCTGAAAACAGAGCTCGGAAGGTCGGAGGATTCCTGAGTTTTCCGCGAGGGGCTGGCCCCCTTCTCTCTCCCCTCTCTCCCCGAGCGGATGTCGATATTCGGGCGATCCGACGCCGCCCGATGCTTGCGTGGCGTTGTCGTGCATCCTGGCGCAGCCGATCCGATTGGGTTTTGAGTCCGCGCCGATGCAGCCCGCTACGACACAAGTTCCGATTCGATCCGTTGCCCCTGCTCGATGCTGACGGACCCTGCCCCCTGTGTGCGCCGCCGTATAGAAGCACCATGTGTGGCCAGGGATACACCCGTTCCACCGCGTCCCTTGATGCTCTCAGAGCGTCCCGGCACGCTCTGAAGCGGTCGCGGCGTCCGATACATTTTCGAACCCCGCCGATTCTCGGAGATGTCCGAGGTTGTTTGGGGTTTCGGACATCCCCCCTTCGGCTGCGTGCTCCTCATGGCTGCCTGGCGCGACTTGCTGCATCCTTCGTCAGCGACTCCTGAAGCGTCCTGGGAAGTACGCTCCCATAGCGTGATCCTTGCGGGATGATGTCCATCTTTATTTGGTCTTATGGGATTGGCATGGACCACACTGAAGCCTAAGCGCGCGAAGCGCGCGCATGGTACTAGTGTGTTGATTTCCTTTGTATGCACACACATATCTTTACATACTGTATATATATATATATATACAGATGTCGGCATGTGCACTTACATATACGTAAGTGTGTGTGTGTATGTACAGATATGTGCATATACATATAAGTGTGTATCGTGTTATGAGGTCCGCGCGGATTTCTTGGATCGGCGCTGGGCATGTGTAGATGCATACGTCTAATGTCGGAGTGTCGGGCCCCCCCTGGTCGCCCCCGGCACACAATGACAAATGGGCCCCCCCCCCCGCACCCCTAATTTCGCCCCCGGGCCGGGGGGCCGTTTTCGGCCCTTGGGGCGATTATTTTACCTTCGAGAGCGCTCCAAGAGCACCCACGTGGGCTTCCAGGGGGTCATGGACACGATAGCGCCCACGTGGGCTTCCAGGTGGCACCAGGGGTTTCCAAGACGAGCCAAGAGCGCCCCAAGAGCGCTCCAAGAGAGCTTGATCTGGCTTCAAGACGTCCCAAGATGCCTCGACAACCCCTCCGTAGTCATTTTGGCTCAAGCCATCTTGGCAAAGCTCAAGCAGTTCGCAAGCAGGCGTGGCTGGTCCTCCGCTTCCCCCCGTGGCGGCTTGCCGAGACCATGATCCGCCTCTTGCTCGCGCGCTGCGTGCACTTCCAGGAGAGGAAGCAGGCCAAGTCTCTGCTGTTCATCTCGAGCTGGGCCAACGACGCAGACCTCCTCACTGCCATCGCCTTTGCTTTCGACAAGGACACGTGGCTGACTGGTGAGAAGAAGAACCCGCTGCCGGATTGGCTGGTGGGCGTCATCTGGGGCTGCCTGGGGCTCTCCTGCCTGTGCTACTGGCTCGTCGCCCTGGACGGCATCGGCATGAGAAAACGTTGCGCCGCTCCCTGCAAGTGCAGAATCGGTGGGATCCTGATGTTCGACATACTGGCCGATGACGTTGTACAGATTGTACTATCATGTCTCGCCGGCGTCCTTGAGGCCAGCGGTACTTTCACTTTCAACGGTAGCTTGGGAACGGCTGCTGCCATGAACCTCACCGCGGCGTCCTTCAGTATCCTCATTAAGCTGGCAGAGGCTTACGAGGAGATTAGCGAGAGGGTCTATGACCTGACGTCGAAGGTTGTGAGCTTTCAACACACACACATGGGCAGCGAAGAGCTGGCAAGCCTCGCAGTGGCGCTCGCAGTCAACCAGGAGGTGGAGCAGCTTGATCTGGGCAGTAACCATATCACCGAGTTGTCCTCGCTGCGCGACGTGCTCGCCGAAAACAAGACGCTGAAGATATTGAATTTGGCAGGCAACATCCGCCTGTGGAGCATCGCGCCCCTCGTGGAGGGGCTGATCCGAGCGGGGACCGCGAGCCGCCTGGAACATCTCAACCTCGCGTGTTGTGGCTTCGGCGAGTTCGAAGTGCACCTCCTGGGGCATATGCTGGCCAAGATCCGCAGCCTGAAAAAGCTGCATCTGCATGACAACAACCGAATCAACAGTCTCGAGCCCCTTCGTGACGGGCTGAAGAGTAGCAACCTGGCAGCGTTATGGCTCCCCATCAGTATCGGCAAGATCGGCGAGAACGTTAACGTTATTGAAATGGAGAAGATCATCGAGGTGAAGCTTGACTTGGAGATATGGTTCTATGCTAGAAACGTGTGTTTTCGCCAATGGAATTCTTTACGCGTCGCGTATCCCCACCAGCCCATCTCACAGCAGCAACTCTCGCGAAGCATGCCGACAGTCGTGTTTTTTCAGGCGTGTGTCCGCTTGGCCCCGCATATCTCCCCTGGTCCTCCTTCCTCCCGCCTCCTTGTACATCCTCCTTGTGGGGGGAGCGGGAGAAGGACGAGGCGAAGGAGGAGGGAGAGAAAGCGCTCCTCGTGGTTTGAGTCGTTTGGGGTTTCTCGTCCTGGTCTGAGTCGTTCGGGCCCTTCTTCCTGGTGTGAGTCGTTCGGGCTCTTCGTGGTGTGAGTCGTTCGGGCTCTTCGTCCTGGTGTGAGTCGTTCGGGCTTCTCGTCCTGGTGTGAGTCGTTCGGGCCCCTCCTCCTGGTGTGACTCGTTCGGGCTCCTCGTGGTGTGAGTCGTTCGGGGCCCGCGTCGTGGTGTGAGTCCTTCGGGCTCCTCGTGGTGTGAGTCGTTCGGGCGCCTCGTCCTGGTGTGAGTCGTTCGGGCCCCTCCTTGTGGTGTGAGTCGTTCGGGCTCTTCGTGGTGTGAGTCGTTCGGGCCCCTCGTCCTGATGTGAGTCGTTCGGGCTCCTCGTGGGGCCTCTTGGGGGCCTCTTGGAGCCTCGTGGGGCCTCTTGGGGGCCTCTTGGGGGCCTCTTGGGGGCCTCTTGGGGCGTCGTGGGCCTCTTGGGGGCCTCTTGGGGGCCTCTTGGGGGCCTCTTGGGGCCTCGTGGGGCCTCTTGGGGGCCTCTTGGGGGCCTCTTGGGGGCCTCTTGGGGCCGCTTGGGGGCCTCTGGGGGGCCTCTTGGAGGCCTCTTGGGAGCCTCCTGGGGGCCTCTTGGGGCCATCTTGGGGCCTCTTGCGACCTCCGCAGAAGCGCAAAGGAGAGCTGCCCCCTGAGAAGGACAAAATGAAGCCAAAACCTTCGTAAAATCAATGATTTTGCTACGAGGGAAGAGAAGCGCGGCCCCCTCAGGAGGCCAAAATGGGGCCAAAACCATAGTAAAATCAATGATTTTGGCTTCAAAGAAGAGCAGAGGCGCCAAACTCGCCCCCCCCCGTCGGGGCCAGACTCCTTGTGAGGGTCGTCGTTTTTTGCCCCTCCGAGGAGTCGAAAAAGACCCCGCCAACGACCCGCGGGGCACCCTCTCCAGGTCCAGGGGGAGGGGGTAGGGGAAGGGGTAAACCCTTCCCCGAAGGGGAAAAAGGGGGTTGAGGACAGAGCGGGCTCTCTAAACCACTCACGCCCGAAGGGCTGGTGGGATTAGCTTGCAGGAGCCCGAGGAGCTTTACTGACGCATGAGTGTAGTTGCAATCGTGCCCTTATTATGGCGATGGCCCAGCCAGGTCGGATCCAATCCACCAGGTTGGCACGTGCCAGCCAAGCTGGCCTTTTCCAGCCGCATTGATGTGGTTTCCGCCCCTCTTCAATCGCGTCGGCGGCGGCTCGAGAGCTGTCCGAACAAAGCGCGGGGGCGGTAGCCAAAGCTCCGGGAGACCCCCGTCGAGCGGGCCCCCCTGTCGGACAGCCGATTCAGGCGCGCAGTTGGCGCCGCCGCCTCGAGTGGGCCCCGGGCGCTCGAGGCTCGACCTTTGGCAGGCCCGACCCTTTGCGCGGGGGCGGTCTTTTATCGCGTCGCCGGCGGCTGCCCGAACAAAGCGCGGGGGCGGCGGCAAAAACTCCGGGAGACCCCCGTCGAGCGAGCAGCGAGCCCCTTTCGGACGCGTCGCAGAGGGCGAGAAAAAAAAGAGGCCTCAAGAGAGCCCCAAAACGGCCCACGGGGGCCTCAAACGGGCCAAAAGGGCCGCATGACGGCCCAACTACGGCCTCAGAGGCGCCCAAGAAGCTCCCCAAAGAGCCGCGTGAGAGCCACCGCAGACCCCCAAGAGAGCCCCAAGACGGCCCAAGAGCGCTCCAGGCCGGCCTCCGAGGGCCGCAAACGAGCCCGACGAGGCCCCAAGAGGGCTGCCAAAGAGGCCAAATGATGCCATTGTGTATGATGTTCAGTTGTTTTGGCGTTTTCGCCCCGCTTGTCTTTCAGCAGCTGGAGAGGGAGGAGGAGGAGGAGGAGGAGGAGGAGGAGGAGGAGGAGGAGGAGGAGGAGGAGGAGGAGGAGGAAGAGGGGGAGCACCAGCAGGATAAGATCTGGATCAGGTGGAGGACAGATGACAAAAGTGCCAGATAACTAAATGAACAACAAAGAAGAGGAGGAGGCAGGAGGAGGATGAGGCGCGCCGGTCGACGTTCAAGGGTGAAGCCGATGTGTCCCGAGGCGCCCCCCCGTGCCGCGAAACGCGGTCAGCCGTCCCACGAAACACGCGCCCACATCCAAGATGGAGGAGCACGAGGAGGAACGCCCCTCCTCCGGGTTGCGCCGGGCATCCCCCCTTATTTCTCAGTTGGTGTAAGGCCCCCGGGTGGCATGCTGGCGCTGATACTTGCAGATGGGAGCCTTTTGGGGGTCGTGCCGACCACCCCTTAGCCAGCCCCCCCCCCCCCCCTTGAGCCTGGGACCCAACCGACTCCAGGCGGGGGGGGGGTAAGAGGGGCACGGGTGCAACGCAGGGGGGGGGGAACAATGTTGTTAACATCCTTTCTCTGCCAGTGGCCGGTAATGAGGCTCAAGCTGCAAGCGGAGTGAACCAGGTAGCAGGAAAATGTCAGGAGGACTCGTAAGGTGGAAGGGAGATGGACCGCGAGAAGGGGAGGAGAAAGAAGAAAGGAGAGCCACATGAGAGGGGCGTGGGAGAGAACGGGAAGCGGAGTACTGACATGGGGAGGGAGGGGGCGGGGGTGGCATCGCCATGGGAGGGGTGGGGATGATGGCAAGGATGGCCATGAGATGGGAGGGGGAGGGACCGGGATGGAAACGGGACAGAAGGCATGGGAAGTGCCCCACAGAGATGGGCAAACATTTCATGTCCCTGTCCGTGGCTCAAAAAGTCTATCAGACTTTGTGCGGCAGTAATCAGGGCTGAAAGTTTCATTCCCAGCGCCTTCTCATTCCGAGGATTGTTCGGCATCCACCAGAACGGTTGCACTGGGATGAATGTCGGTGGCACGCCGAAGGATTTCCAATCCACGTGAGGAGGTTTCTACAGCGAGTTCGAGCGCTGCAGGGATGCTGGGCTGGATAGGTGTTTTTTGACGTATACCTTGTAGTTCGCTGAGTTGTGGAAGCCGTCCAATAACGGGGAAGGAATTGGGAGGTCAGCCAGGGGAGCACCTAGGGTGGTAAGGGGGAGCGAATGGGAATGGCAAAAGAGGGAGACGTGAGCGTGCAGAGTTCCTGGGGGTCGGGAAGAGTGGGATGCGGGCGGGCAGATGAGGGTGATCGAATCGCTGCGGGTAATGTACAATGCGAGCGGGGGGGAGGGGGGGGGGGGTGCGGGGATGGAGGGAGGAGAGGGTGGGGGTGGGGAGCGCGATCAGGAGAAGGATGAGGAGAAAGGGGGGAGAGAGGAGGAGGAGGAGGAGGAGGAAAAAGCGGAAGGGGAGGAGGAAGACGAGGTGATGGGAGACGTCTATTCGTCATCGCAGCGCGGACGATTGTCCAGAAATGTATCCACGAATTCATGCCCGCATAGTATGCGGGAACAGGGGAAAGCAAATTCGAATTTGACGCGGACATCTATATATGAAATAGCCGAGGCCTGATGACAGGGGGTATAGGGAAAACCGTAGAGCTCGCAGTAGGAATGGAATGTATATACATCTATGCACATAATGGGCATATACGTATATTTACACATCGTCATAGTTGCACATATGTTTGCTTCTCTCTCTATATATATATATATAGACACATGTGTGTGAATGCATCTATATGTATATCAATGTGCATTCACATACACACGAATATCCGGCAGATGTTGTCTCGATCCTGCCTTTGTCTTACCTCCCCCCCCAGAGGCCACCGCCGAGGCCATCCCTGAGGCGGCCCCCGCGGTCGCCCCTGAGGCAGCACTTGCGGCGGGGGCGGCGGGGCCCGCGGGCGCCGTTGAGGAGGCGGCCCTGGGGGCCGCGGCCAAGGCCGTCGCGGTCGTTCTGAGGAGGAGGAGGAGGATGAGTATGAGGAGGAGGAGAAGGAGGAGGACGAGGACGGGGAGGAGGAGGAGGAGGAGGAGGAGGAGGAGGAGGAGGAGGAGGAGGAGGAGGAGGAGGAGGGAAATGAGGGGGTGGAGCAGGAGGAGGAGGAGGAGGAGGAAAATGATGAGTCGATCGCACGCAGGAGTTCGGTGGAGGCAAATGTACCATTACCTCCACCCTTCGCCCGTTTTGCCCTTTCCGGGCCTCCCGGGCGACCCTCGTGGTCACCGCTGGATGCGCCCCTGAACCCTGGTCACATCGCACCCCTGGAGAGGTCTGGGGAATAGCGGAACCGGTACCTTGTGGTCCCCCTAGTATGAGTGACTGTTCGCGGGAATGGCCTTGGAACGCGCTGCGAGAGCGGCGGCTCGCGCGCTCGGGTTTGGCCTCCCCGCGCCCTCCCGGAATCCTCGAACCAAAGGTCATTCCTGCCTGGGGTCACTCTTTGCGCGTAGTCGAATGAGGTTCTAGCCTTCCAAGATGGAGTGCGAACGGGGTCGGAGGATCGCGCCCGATTTGGAGCCCGATTTTCCCCGCGCTGGTGTCACCGAAGCACCACCGACGTCGCCGACGCATCGCCAATGCATCGGCGATGCATCGGCTATGCGGCGCGATCCACCGACACCATCTACTCGGACCCCATCTAGGGGGCCTCTACAGGTAATTACCCATACCGCTACCTTTCCATACGTTTCCCCTTTGGTGGCCTCCCTGGGCGGCCCACGTCGCCACCTTTGGATTCGCCTCGAAATTCTAGTCAGAACGCGCCCCGGGGGAGGTCCAGGGAATAGCGGTTTCGGTACGTGTTGGTTTCTCTCGTCGTGGTCGTGGTGGTTGTTTCGTTGGTCGGCGGTCGTCGTCGTGGTCGTGGTGGTGGTCGGGGTCGTCGGCGGTGGTCGTCGCGGTCGTGGACGTCGTGGCCGTGGTCGACGTCGTGGCCGCGGTCGTCGTTGTCGTGGTCGCGGCGGTCGTCGTTGTCGTCGACGACGAAAACGAGGAGGATGAGTAGGAAGAGAATGGAGAGGAAAGAGGAGGAGGAGGAAGATGAGGAAGAACAGGTGAAGGAGGAGGACCAGTGTAAACCCAAGACTCACCAACGATATTAAATTACACGCTTCCTCCAAGTTCCCGCTTCACAGGCCCCTACAAGGGTTCATTTTCATTGGAGGAAGTGCCCCTTCTGGAGAACAAGCATTTGAAAGTCATGAGATGTGTTAGATTCCGAGGTTTTCGATGCCGCGAATCACTGTTACCGTTGCATCTTGACGATCTTCAGCCGTTCCAGAACATCAGAACAGCTTTCCTTGGACTTCCACACAGCGAATCAGCACACCTGTTGCGCCCTGACAGCCTGACGTCGTGCCAAACAACCTGTTTGGGACGTTAACATAGGAATTATTGAAATTGTTCTAAACTTTAAAACAGAATGTGGGCTGCGCTAACGTGAGAGCCACGGGGGGGTTCGGGTCTGTTACGGGCAGAGCGGGGATCTTGGGCTGCGCGGTAGGGGGGTTTTTGATAGCCGGGGCGACGGTGAAATTTCAGGTGTTTGGATTCCATCGCTCGTGGATCCAGGAGAGCCCAGCCCGTCGGACCAGGACTGGATTCGTGCCGTGGGTAGCGCCGCGGCTGATTCTGCAGCTGCCAAGGTTGCGGAACGCATTTGGGTTTTATTCGTGGTTGATGACGCCCAACCCACGGGCCAGTGAGGCATTACAGAGGTGCGAACGCGGCGGCGGCGGATCTCATCAAGGCTAAGGGTTCCTTGAGGGTTCTTGGGGGAGCCCGCTTGGTACCCCGAATTGGCGGTATCAGTGCTTTGTGGTTTCCCCAGGATCTGGAGAGGCGAAGTCCATGCGGAGCCACCACTGCTTTCGTACAGCTACCGCTAACGGCCGTCCGTTGATTGCTGCATGTTCCAACCCTTCCAAGATGGGCCTTGAGAACTTGGCCCGTACTGCGCCAGCTCAGCTTCCTAGCTACGCAGGGCCTCCCATGACGGGTCTTGCGGCTGGGGTGGAACGCGAGGCAGCGGCGGTTACAGCTCAGGCGTCGGCCAGCCATTCGGTTGGTTGATGGCCCGCGCCCTTGCCTCCTGTCTCTCTTCCCGCGCGCTGTGTTGCGCAAGTGTTCCAAATGCTCCCCAGCCGCTTTCGATGGCAAGCCCGGTTTCATCGCGCATCCTCACCAGCAATTTTGAATGTACGTAGTCGTCCCGTCTCGGGCGACGTTGAGCGAGCGAGCGACGGGGTCGCAAATCAGGGCCTGAGGCATGTGGGCGGGCGAGGGGGACCAGGGGACGCATTGAAAGAAAACGAGGGGCCACGAGGTCTGGGGAAAACGAGGGGCCACGAGGTCTGTGCCATCCACACGCCCTTAATTTGTCATCCCCCTCTTGGGACGCTTCCGAGCGTTGAGCGAGCGAGCCTGCTCTTCTGGAGGCCGTCGCCAGGGGGTCCGCCGCCGGGGAGGCCGCCCCTGAGGAGGCGCGGGCCCGCGCGGGCCCAACTGTGACGAACCAGCTGCGTTGAGGTGCCCCGGCCAAGACACTTGCCCATCGGTCGTTGAAAGTAGATACTTCTGGATCCCCATATTCCAATCTACTTTGAGCGCCGAGTGGCTTCACCGTTTCCGTCCTCTTTGGGGGGCGGGCGGAAACCCAATCTGCATTCAACGTCTTCCTACTCCGTGTTTCCACCTGCTTCTTCCGACCGACGGGCATGGTTCCGTCATTGGATACCGTCGTCCCGTTTCGAGGCTTGGGCCGGACGAAAGGGGGAGTTGGGGAAAGGGAGGGTTAAGAAATCTGCTGCATGCAGCTGGTTTCGGCCCCGCCGCCGGGCCCAGTCCTCGATGCATGGGCGCCTCCCGGCGCCGGGAGGCGCCGGGAAAATCAGCTACGTGTCAAACGACGCGAAGATCGGGACAAAATCGGATCGGGATAGCTCGAAATCTCTGAGAATCGGCGGGTTTGGAGGATGTATTGGGCGCCGCGGCCGCTCCAGAGCGTTCCGGAACGCTCTGAGAGCGCTCCGGAACGCTCTGGAGCGATTTATTCCGATCCTAGCCCTGTTTTATACGTGAGCTGATTCTCACCCCCCCCCTTTGATATATCCCCCCCGTTCGCGTGGCCCGATGGATGCCGTCGTCCCGTCTCGAGGGTCGGGCGGCGTGGAGCGAGAGTGGCGCTGCCCTCCGCGAGGCCGCAGCCGGGGAGGCCGCCGCCGGGCAGGCGCGGGCCCGCGGGGGGGCGGGGAGGGGGCGTCGGCGGGCCCCAGAGTCGAAGGAGTCGCCATGAGTGGCGCTCCGTGACCGCGCACAGTCCAGGACGCCGCCTGCTGTACGCGCCGCGTTTCGGGAGCCCTCAGCCCCGTTCCGTCAGGTATGGGCCCACGCGGGGGCTCCTGCGCTCGTTTGCTGCGCTCGGCTACCCGGAGCCGTCCACGGGCTCCGTCCAGGAGCCGCCGCCGCGGGAGGCGCCACCACGCCCGGGCCGCGCGCAAGCGGGGCGCCGGGGCGGGCGCGCTCCTGGCTGCCGCGCGGGGGCCGCAGGCTCACGCCCGGTCAGCCCAGCAGGCGCCGGCCGGCGGCGGGTCCCAGAGGATGCGCCCGAGGGGATGGGGGCCTCGAGCAGGGTGAAGTTCGACCTCCCTTCCTATCAAAGGCCCGTCCCTCGGGGCCCCATTTTAGAACCGCGCGCAGGTGGTGCTCATGTCGGTCGGGTCGGGCGAAAGGGGGGGATTGGGAAAGGGGG